CGGGCGTACTTGCCCGCTGGGTCCTAGAGACCGGCACTGGACCCAGTGAACAGCCCCCAACCCCCATTTTATCAGGATCCAGAGGGGATCCCCTACTTTCCCACCCATCCGCGCCATTGGTCTCTGAGGCTGTGGGGAAGGGGTCCATCTAGGACATGGCCTGGTCCCACAGCTCTAAAGAGACGAGGGTCTACGCTTTGGCTTCTAAATGGGAGGGGCCGAGTGCCTGACAGGGTTCGAAAGGGGGTGGAGCGAGAAGGGAGCTTTCACAAGGGGGCGGGGTCGGAGGGACCAGGAAAGGAAAGGGTGAGGACGCCAAAGGCTCTGACACGCGAGTGCGTCATGGAGGGGGCGGGTCTACGATGGATGGGCCTTCGGTGCGGGCTCAAGGAAGGAGAGGGTCTTGGGAAGAAATGTTATGCAGGGTCCTAAAAGGGCGGAGTTTAGAAGTAAATTGTCTTAGGGGTGGGGCGCAGGAGAGATCCAAAAGGGAGGAGCTACGTAGCAGTGTTTTCTAATGGGCGGGGCTTAGAAAGAGGGGCTAACGAAAGAGGCGGAGCGTTGAAAGGGGAGGAGCTAAGGAGAACGTTCTTAAGGGGATAGGGCCTAGAGCTCCAAGGCTTAGGATCGGGAAAGAAGACATCCAAGTATTTCAAAGGGAGATTCAGGTTTATAAGGGACCAGGTTCAAGCTCTCTCATGGGAGGGCGGGGCCTCGCGCCCGGGGGCGGAGCCTAGATCTCGGGGTCCGCCCCGCTGCCTCGCCCACTTGCCTTCACCCGCACCCCCGTTCTTTTCGGTTATTTTCTGCTACGGCCGTTTCCCCTCACTACCCTGGGCCCAGGGGGCCGTGGTCTGAACTTTGGCCGGTAGGAGGAGTAGGTGAGCGGGACCTCTGAGCTAAGGGCGGAGCTTGGGAAAAGGGGTGGGGCCCTGAGTGGGAATAGTAGTGAGGCCTGAGGATCTGCGGCTGCCCGGGGAGAAGGCGGGACCCAAATGATCGACAAGAGAGAGGGATGGGAGGGTTAGAGGTGAGGACTGAGGGGTTAACATGACAAGAATACTTGGGGTTTGTTAGGCGGAGGCGGGGCCCGACCTGAGGAGGTGTTGATGAGGCCCGATTCCTGACAATCGGGGGCAGAGTTAGAGTACCGAGAGAGAAGGCTGAACTCGTTGTAGGCCTTATAGACTACTGAACACAACCATCATGAGTGATGTGGATGGAGAGACAGGAAAGCGGGCAAGACCTGTGTCTTGAAGCTTAGAGACCGGGGACGTGGCCAACGTGTAGGGATGTGATCTGAGGGACCCGCTGGGGGATAGGGACCAAACCTTAGTATACTAAGACGATGGAGCCTGTGCCTGAATAGCAGCTTGTATGGGGCTATGGGGAAGAAAGCGTGAGCGTCGACAGGGAACAAGAATGCGGCTAGAGACTAGTGCCTGAGTGGATCTTGGAAGACAGGCGGGGCCGGTGTGGACCAGTAGGACCAACTACAGCCAGCCTCTTCGAGTCCCCCTAGCAGACTGACTGGCGGAAGTTTTTCTGACCATAGTCCCCGACCTCCGCCAGAAATGGGGAACGTGCAGTCGGAGCCATCCGCGGGCGGGGGCTCCCAAAAACAGCAAGCCTCGGACCTCTCCTCCGACTCCCGCCGGACGTCCATGGCGGAGCCCGAGGTGACCCCCTCCTCCCCTGCCATGCGTTTGGCTCGCGGGCTGGGCGTCTGGTTCCCCGGCAACTCCACGCCCCCGGGACGCCTGGCACCCCCGGAGCCTCAGGCCTCACCCTCGCCCCTGCCCCTGACCTTAGAATTGCCCTCGCCAGTGACGCCCCCTTCAGAGGAGGCGGCTGTGGCCACGGTCTCCACACCACCCCCGCCCCCCGTGGAAACCCTGTGGCCTGAGCCGTCTAAGTGGCAAAAACCCACGGGCACTCTGGTGCCCCGAATCTGCGGTCTGCTGGAGGCAAGCCATTGCGGCCAGGGCGACCTTCCGAGCCTCCGACCGCTGCCGCCACCTCCCCGGCAACTAACCGAAGAGGATCCCGACTCTGTCCCGAAGGCCCTATCCCTCACTCCGCCACCCTTGGAGCCGCGGAAGACGCCACCACCGCCACCTTCCTACCGGCAGCCCCTGGACTGCAAAATCAGTCCTTCACTGGCCACATCCGCTGCAACCCCCACAGAGAGCCAGGTCGGGCGCCGCAGCGAGGGCCAGACGGCCGGCAAGGTCCGCGGAGGGGCGCCGCTCCAATCGGGAGAGGGCGAAATGGCCCGCCTTGCCGCCTCAGAGCCCAGCCTGAGTCTACTGTGTAAAGTCAACTTCAAGTCGGGTCCCCCTTTGCCCCCTGCCGCAGCGTCGAGTTCCTTAGCCTCCAAAGTCTCGCCCCGGGGCGGCGGAGGAGGGGAATTCTTCTCCACCTCGGGCGCCATCTCTTACGCTGAGGCCCTGAAGCAGGGGCCTCTGGCTCCTGGGGCCGCTTGCCCCCTAGGAGAGGTCCCTCGGGAGACCCAGGAAGCAGAGGGCGGTAATGGAGACGGCGAGGGGTGTTCTAGACCCCCATCGGCGCCTGCGTCCCATGCCCCGGCCCTTCCGCCGTCACCCTACACCACCTTCCCAGGACCGAAGCCCAAATTTGACTGGGTTAGTCCTCCTGATGGTCCTGAACGCCACTTTCGCTTCAACGGAGCTGGCAGAGGCATCGGGGCGCCCCGAAGGCGCGCGGCTGCATTCTCAGGGCCCTGGGGTTCCCCGCCGCCTCCATCAGTGCAGATGCACCCAACTCCCGGGCCCCGGACGCCCGCACCCGCCCTGCTGGCGCCGCCTATGTTCATCTTCCCAGCGCCCACCAATGGCGAGCCTGTGAGCCCCGGGACTCCCGGCCCACAGGAGTTGCCGCCGCCACCACCGCCGACGCCACCACCCACGCCGCCTCCAGCACCGCCGCCCACACCGCCGCAGCCACCAGTGCTCCAGCTAACACCGCTACCCGCGGCACTCCAGCCCACCCCAGGCCCAGGCCTCTTGGAGTCCGCGCTGGCTCCCGCCTCGCCTCTCGCCCTAGCTGCGGACCAGGCCCCGGCCCCGGCCCCGGCCCCGGCCCCAGCCCCGGCCCCGGCTCCAGCTCCCACTGTGGCCGCGCCATCTCTGCCTGCGCCCGCGCCCATCAAGGCCCGCACGCGTAGAAACAAGGGTCCCCGCGCAGCCCGGGGCACGACCCGTGAGGATGGTGCGCCTGGAGATGGTCCGCGCGAAGGGACTACAGCTACCGTGACTGACAGAGTCGGTGGAGGAAGTGGTGGTGACGGGGCTCCTCCAGCTGGGACGACTAACACAGGTGCTGCGAGCCACTGGCCGCCTTTCCAGGTGCTTAATTCTTGTCCCTGCAAGTGTTACTGCCGTCACCAGCCACACCATCGCCGCCTGCCACGCAACGTGTCTGCCTGGTGAGGGGAGGTCCTGGATAGTCTTTCAGTTCTTAGGAGTCCTGACCTCAGCTGACCCTTGACCTTTTCCTTGGCTGCATCTCAAACCCAGCAAGGGGCCAAGCTTTCAGGACCACTGGCAGGAGAGGGAACACCTTGGCCCAGCCCCTTGGTATCCAGAACTCCAAGGTGACTCCTGGCTCTCTTGAGCCATCAGGGAGGGAAGCTGATCCCAGCTGGCCTGACCATCTCCATGGCCTTGACACTTGTACCTGAAAGCACCAAGAGTGACCATGTCCCAAACCCTTCAGGGATGAGAGGGGAGGAGATGAGTCTTCTGGATCCAAATGGATATAAACGCAGGCCTCCAAAGCCCCTGGTCTAGCCCGTCTCCTTCCCCTCCCTCCAGCCTTTAGCAACTTCTGACTCTGGGACCTAAGGTTGTGACCGCCAGAGGGCACTGATGCCTCAGTCCTTGTGCTGCAAGAGATTACTCCCAAGTCCTCAGATCCGGGGGAGACACTCAGTGCATCATTCAGTTACCCCCACACACTGAATCTCAGGATCAGTCACCAGGGTCTGTCTGACCCCAGCACCTGAGGACCCTGAATCACTAGGAGACCCTCTGACCTGGACCCCTAGGGGCTCAGCTGGGGTGGGACCCCTTTCCTATTTCAAGTAAATATAGCCCTGCCTTAAACTGCTTTTGGGATATTCAGACATGGCCCCTTATACAGATAGGGAAAGTGAAGCCTAGAAGGGGTAAGGGCCTGGCCACATAGCCAGGCCCTGCTGACTCGACCTTCTCTCTAGGCTGAGCACGCCCACCAACCACCTGAGTGAGCCACCCTGGGTCGCCACCATCAAGCTGGCTGGCTCCCTGGTAGCCGGGCTAGAACACTACGACTTGCAGGCTACCCATTCCAAATGAGTGCAGTCTGCTCAGTGGCCTCGGCCTTCCTCTCCTTGACAATAAAGTAACCATCCATATGCTTAGCTGCCTGTCAAGTCACCGATAAGGACTGAAGGGGTGGGGTGGGGCAGGACAGAACTCTCCATGAAAGCACCACATCCTGGAAACAGTAAGGAGGCTGGACCCAGAGCAGCAGTAACAGAAGTTCCATTCATCCAACATCCAGACTGATCTGCCCAGGGTTAAGATGGTCTCATTCCCCTTAATACCATCAGCTGATCTGGTGCCAAGCTCTTTGGAAAGTAGTAGTGATCATTCCCATTTTACAACTGGGGAAACTGACTCTGGAAGACTGTTGAAAATCCCACAATTGACTCAGCCAGATTTGGACTCTGCCTTAAGGAAACACTCTCGAGAATTTCAAGGCAAGAAACAAGCTGGGGGTGTGGGAGGTCCTAAGTCACAGCATGGCTCAGGAAGGGTGGGAACCAGGGCAAGTTTATGCCAGGGCCATGCTTTTCGTCCCACAGGGGTCTCAAACTGGGAGTGCGCACATGGGTTCCATTTTACATGTCATTTAAAAAACTGGTTTGATTTATTGCTAACTTTTAAAAATTGGGACATTTCATCCCCTTTGCTAAATAACTCTGGTGCCTTGGCCTGGCCCTCCTGTGTGTCCACATCTGGGTGTAATAGTCCCTCTAGTCAGGGGCATATGTTCTGTACCTTGAGCAAAGGCCTCTGGACGGAGGCTGACCCGAGTACCCTCAAACTTTCAAGTTCTTCAGAGATAGGACTTGTCTCCCTACCATTCCACCTTACCTAGGGAGACAAAGGTCTAAGAAAGAGAATGTCCATCCAGTTTTATTGGAGGAAACCCTGCACTACAACTGCTTTCAATAATACAAGCCCAGCCCCACCCGAGTGCCTGCTGGGTTCAGACGATCATCTCCAGCTGCCGGGCATACTCGATGACCTGTTTGGCCAGCTCCGTGGAGGGGATAGTGGTATCTTCTGGCTTCTGTTGCTGGCTGGCAAAGCTGTAGTAGTTGTTGAGGCCCAGGACCCACCCTCGCTGCAAAAAGGGAGGGATAACAGATGGGTGGGGTGGTCACACAGGTTCCCTCCCGATCCCAGAAAACCAGCACTTATCCATGTGGGCCCTGGTTCGCTTTCTTCACCAACCCTACTCTACCCACACACTCTAGGCAAGTAACTTCACTTCTCTGTGCCTCAGTTTCTCCATATTTGAGACCAGGACCCTAATCACATGCTTCTCTGGGTCTGCTGTAAGGATTCAGTCAATCAACACCTGTAAAGTGCTGAGAATAGTGTTTGGTCCAGAGTAAACGATCACTAACTATAAACCATCACCATCAGTTTCACCTCTTCCAGCTTGGTCTTGACCCTTCTCAGTGACTGGGTTACTGTACCCCATACACCAACATCTCCAGGGGCACTGCTTTTGCACAAATACCTCAGACTAAATGAAGCAAAGTCTGGGGAAAAGCTGCAACCTCCAAAGAATTCTGATAAGGACAACAGCCAACATGTGCTGAGCAACCACCTTCACCTGGTACCAGGTGCTGTGCTAAGTTCATCCCACATGTTAAATTCTAGCCCCATTCTACAGATGGAACCTGAAGCTCAGAGAAGTTCGGTGACTTGCCTGAGGTCACACAGCTGGATTTAAACCTGGGCAGTCTTGCTCCAGTGTCCCTCCAGGCCACCCTTACTGCTGCTAGTGTACCCCTTGACCCCATGACCCCTTGCCCTGCACCCCAGCCACCTTCTTGGCGTAGTCCGTCATCTTTTTGGGTGTGTTGAAGAAGAGGATCCGGGTGGCCTCAGTGAAGAGGATTTTCTCATAGGCCTTCTCGATGCACCCAGCAATCTCATCCCTGGGGGAAGATGAGGCTCTCGTTACTGAGCACCAACAGTGCTCCAGGCCCTGTCCTCCCTGGCCTGACATGTGTGAGCTCTGACCTTCAGTTCAGCACTGACTGCTGGAATATGTTATCTGCCCTGTTTCACCCACGGAGGCTCAGAGAAAGACGGAAGAGCTTGACCCGAGCTGTAAAGCCAGGGCCACAACAGGGTCCACTCCCAGGTCTCTCTGGCTTCCAGGCCCAAACTCTGAATTCCACTTCCAGCCACCAGGGCTGCAGGCTGTCTGCAAGTCTGCTTGGGATTCCCACGAGGGACTCTCTTCACATAATAGCTCCCCACAAGGGTGCTGCCCCCACTTCCAGATCTGATCTAGAGGCAGGGCTCCTTGCACCCCTGCCAAGAGGCATTATGATCAACACGGAAGTAGAAAACCAACAAGGCAGCAAGTGACTGAAACGGGAGAATGAGTTAGCTCTGGGGAAAAACAATGACAAGGAAGTGCATCAGCTTCTAAGGTAGTTTATCTCTGGCCAAGTGGTGGGTATGTGGGCCTCATTTTTTTATTCCCTGCTCATTTTGGAGAGCCAAACTATTTCATAATTAAAAATAACTTAAACCCGCAAAACTATCCTCCTTTACCTGAGGAATGGAAACCCATCTCAATCTGGCGCTCTGCCACCACCTGGACAGCCTTTTACTCAAGGGACTTGTAAATGTCATGTCAACCTGCCTGTGCGATGTCACCTGTGCGCACAGCAACCCCTGAGGGGCTAGCAGGATTTGATGGCCCCATTCTAAAGAAGGGGAAACTGAGGACTCCAGTCAGGGTGACCTGAGGTGAAATCACATGACTCGTGGGCTGGAGCGCTTCTAAGAAAGGCAGTATGGTCCTTGTCTGCTGGGCACTGGGAGCCAAGTCCATGCTCCAGGTCTGACATGTACGGGCACATGCACAAACAGCCCAGAACAAGATGAGGGCTGTTTTCCACAATCTCATGACTAGTTCTAGTTCATAGAAAAGGAGAACTGATGTCACAGTCTCCCTAGGCCACAGTGGTCAGAATGGAATTCAACTAAGAGCTGTATAACTCCAGACTCCAAGCTCTTTCCAAACCCCACAGGGCCCTGGCCCGCCGCTACACACCTGATAGTGTCAAGCAGGATGTCAATGAAGAAGGTATAGCTCTCAGCAGGGATGTTGCCTTTGGCCAGGAACACCTTGTTGTAGCTGCCCTCCATCAGGTACTACAGAGACCGGGGTGGGGAAGACAAAAGGATGAGGAAGCAGCACAGGGAGCTACCCACTGAGGCCTCACCATACTCCCAGGGCCTTTGTAATCCCCACTCTGCTAGAACACCCATTCTCCATAGGTACCTGCTCTTCCAGGAAGCCCGCCCTGGTTTAATTACACACACAGACTCTCTCTCTCCCCAAGCTAGTATACCCTGGGATAGTATGTAATCATCACATCTATTTTTCAATCACAGGAGGGAGACAGAGCTAGAGCCACCCCAACCTCATTCCTCCTTTGCCCAAGCTGTGCTGCCTGCCGTAACTTCCCTTTCTCCCAGCCTCTACCCATAGCCAAATCCTCCCATGAGACCTCAGCTCTAGGAACTACTTCCTAACCTTAGGTACTAAGGCTCTTCCCTGACCCTGCTGACCTTGTTCTAGAAACACTGTCCTCTTTGCTGTCCCTCAGCTACACCAGGCATGTTTCTGCCTTGGGACCCCTGGACTGGCTGCTCCCTCTTCCTGGATCACTGACTCCCCAGATGCCCACGTGGTTGGGTTCTTTGTCCCTCTCAAGTTTTCCTCAAATTTCCTCTTTTTAGCAAGGCCTTCCCTGACTTCCCTTACAAAAAATTCACCCCTGCCCCCGTCATTCCTGCTTTATTTTTCTCCATAGCACTTAACGTCTGACAGACCATTAGTTAATCTTTGTGGTTTTCGTCTGCTTCTTCACCTGAATGTCATACCCACACGATCAGGGATTTTTTTTTTTTTTGTTCACTGTACAGTCTGAAAACCAACAATAGTGCCTCACACAGCTGGGGCTCAGTATTTGTTAGACGAATAAGCAAATGAGTCTGTGGGCTAAAAGATGACTGAACCCTTCCCACTCCTCCAGGAAACCCTCCCTAACGTCTGTCTCTGCACCACCCACTTTAGCCAGGCCTTCTCTTCCCCCTTCCCCAGTCTCACTTGCTCAAGGGACACAGGATGCTTGATGTATACATTGGTCTGGATGTCCTTGGCAGGTAGCCGCTCCAACTCTGTGTGGAACTCAGCCACCCGGTTCTGGGACAGCAGGAAGAGGAGGTTGAGGCCCAAGAGCTGGTGCATGTATGCTGACTCGGGGAGCTGCTCCCTGTGGACCAGGGTGGGGGAACCAACGTAAAGAAGGCTTAGGTACCTACCGAGCCCCTCACTCCAGGCTTCAGGGACCCTGATGACTGTCCTGAGCTGTCTCCTTGTAGAGGTACTGAGTCCTGGGATTTCAGATGAAACTTATGCCCGGAGAGGCAAGGAGTCACAGGTCATATAAGCCCAAGCAAATGACCTTCCTTCAGTAAAGTGACCCAACCTCAGTTTCCTCAACTGTAAAATGGGTATCACCACAGTAGCCATATCACAGATGTGGGTTAAATGAATAAGAGTTAAGAGAATCAAATGATTTAACCCAGATAAAGTTATAGAACAGTACCTGACCCAATTAAATATATAAGTGTTAGCTATGATTAAGAATCATCACCCTGAAAAGGTGAAGGGATTAAGACGTACAAATTGGTAGTTACAAAACAGTCATGAGGATGTAAAGTACAGCACAGAGAATATAGTCAACAATGTTGCAACAACTACGTATAGTGCCAGGTAGGTACTAGACTAATCTGGGGATCACTGCATAACATATAAATGTCTAACCACTATGTTATATACCTGAAACTAATATAAAATAACATTGCATGTCAATTGCTAACTGAAAAAATTTTTTTAAAAAAAGAACCATCACCCTTACTTTAAGGGGGAAACTGAGGCTTAGGGAAGTAAAGTCATTTGCCCAAGACCACATAATCAGGAAGTGGCAAAATCAGTTTCAAACCCATGTGTGTCTGACTTCTGATGTCAAATTCTTAATCATTATTCCATGAAGGCACCATTGAGTTATAAAACCAT